TAATGCCAGCCACAACACTGTGAATTCCTCAAGGAGGTGCCAGTCATCCTCTTATCTCTCCCTCGCGCCTCAGGAGATGAAAGAAAATGTTTTTCTCCCTGAGTCTGGCCTTCATAATTCCATTCCATCACATCAGAGTCCATTAGAACTGGGATAGATTACGAATATTGTTAAATAAATAAATAATAAACATGGATTGGCTTGAGTTGCAGAAGCCTTCTCTAAAAATGACTCTCCCTTTCCAAATCTTTTTCTATGGGCTTGCAATGTCTGCTTCAAAATCTTTAATAGGAGTGATGAATTTGTGAATTGTGCAGGTCTGCAGCAGCTGCTTTGACTTCTTTTAAGGAGGGTGCGGGAGATGAAAGAAGGAAAAAGCATTCTGTTCCCAGCAGTTTCTATAGTGACTAGAACTTCCCCACCTTGAAAGGATGGATGCAAGTGACTGGAGGTGCTATTATCCCCTCCTGCTACGATTTGTAGAGCACCACCATACATGGCAGATCCTTTGGAGCTTTCACAGCAGCAAAGACAGAGCAGTGACAGGTTACAAATGGAGGATTATTCTAAATGGGCCCAGAGGAGAATCAGGTTCTGTTAGGTCCCTCTGCCTCACAGGTAGAAGCAACACATTTGCACGTGCCTTATTCCAACCTGTGCTTGCCAAGTGGAGAAAGAGCCCCCACAGGCTGCCCACCATACCCATGGATTTCTAATGAGCTCCAGAGGAATGGTTGTTCAAACTGTTCTGCATGGAGGGTAACATGCCGGTTTTGCTCTCTCTTTTTCTTTCACTCCTTTTTAAGTGAGATATTAATGTCTCCAACTTTTTTTTTAGGGAATTATGATGAGCATGGCTATGCCTTACAAAGTGCACTGAGAAGAAGGAAAGATCTTCTACAGCAGCTCAGAGTATGATATCTCTAATTCTTATTGTTTTCTTTTAAAACAAACTGAGTAAAATACACTTTTTACTGCCCACTTTTTACTATGTTAATACAGTGTTAACCTACAGTAGTTTAGTTCTTTGCCAGCTAGTATTATTGGTTTCGATAAGCTGTAGTGAGCTGCAAATCTGAGAAAAGTAAAAACTCTAGGGAAAAGCAAAGTAATTTTGACTAGGCAAATTTGGGAGGAAAGGCAAAATAACCCATTTTCTACATCAGGATTCCTTTCTCAAAGGGAAAATTTCTTACAGCAGTTTTAAAGTTTAATAAAATTAGGAGGAAGAGTTATGCAGTATCACATCTATTTCCCTCCAATGCGTTGAATACAATTAATGAAAAGCTCAATGTTCAATTTTTTTTGCTAATGTCTTTGGCACGAAAAGGTTATGTGTTGAAAATGTCTTCAGTTTCTGTCTTGTTTCAGGTCAGTTTTCTTTAAGCAAATGTATAAGCTTAGGAAAACTCTATATTTGGTATTACAGGAGCAAAATCTTTTGGAAGAACTTTCAGTACCACCCAGTTTACCAAGGATTCATAAAAAACCCTTGAAGCCACAACATATCTACCAAATTCCTTCTCTTTCTCCTCCTCCTCTTCCCCCTCCACCCATACCTGAGCAACCAAGAATCATCCAGCAAACAGTAAGTGTTCTCTGTTTTATTTCCAGGAGGGACCAATAGAAATTATCAAATTAATTCAAGCAAAACCAGCTGTAGGCAGCACAGATTAATTATATGACAAGTCCCGAACATCATTTCATTAGTACAGCATAGTTTTGTAAGAACTTTTGGGGTAATATTGGAATTGGGTTGGCCAGCTTTTTTGTTTGTTTGTTTGTTTGTTTGTATGTTTCTGATTCCAGATTTTGTAACTTTAGCAACTTGATTGCAGACATTAACAGTATTGTAATATATTCATCATCTAATTTTTGCATATTAGGCTATGCAGATTTCTGCATATCAAGCAGATCAAGTTACTGTGTTTTGCCCTAATCAGATTGCAATTCTAGGTGAACTAAAATTTGGTGGCAGACAGTCTTTCCTTACACAATTGTCCTGAAGATGACACTTCACATTAATTGATGAATGGCCTTGTAATGTATAAGTTAAAGCACATTAGCACTGGTATGAGAAATTTAATATTGAAGATTTAAATGCACTTTACTTTCAGTTTGGGTAGCATAATCTGAGGTCCCAAAGCCCTAGATACAGCCCTTAGAATTGTTCTAACCATTGCCATTAAACTGTAATTTTTAACAGAAGAATTATTAAACACATGGAAAGTAATAATGTTAAATATTTATTTATTTATTAAATCAATTTATATGGCTGCCACAAATGCAACTCTGGGTAGCTATCATCACATTAAAAACAATAGGGGAAGAAAAACAATAACCAAAGGCAAATGCCTTTTAAATGTAATTTAAATGTAATTTAATTTTTGTCCTGGCCATTCCTCACTTCTTTGTAATTATCTTCTCCTATGATCTTTTCAATCCTCACGACTCAGCATGCAATCCATCAGAACGCACAGCTTTTCTGGTCTCTCCTCTCCCCATTAAACTCTTGTTAGCTCTCTCTGTTTGCTCAATGAACTCTTATGTAATTATAACATTTTAATTGCACATTAATTTCATTCAGCCACAGATATAAGAATGGAGCTACAATTTATTCTTTCACTATTCTTTTTCCAACTTTTTTCTTTTGCAAGTTACCACAGCAACCAGCGACCATAATTCAACAAATACCTTCAAATCCACCACTCATTACACAGATTCCATCTCCCCAGTCCTTCTCAGCACCTAGATCTGGGAGTATTAAAGAAGGTATTTATGTTCAAAAACTATATGTACACTAGATAGGAATAACTCTTCTTTAATATAGCATAATTAACTTCAAGTCCTAGAAAATATATCTAAGATTATGCTGCAGAACCTCAACCCTACGCACATTGACTCAGAATTAAGTCCATTGGACAGAATGTGGCTTACTTCCCAGTAAACATGGATGGAGTTGTTTATATGGCTCCCATCCTATGCACACAAGTTCAAGAATAAGATCTGTTGGGTTCAGTGTGACTAACTTTTAAGTAAAGTGGCATAAAAAGTGCCAAATATTCCCTTTTAATTTGCCCACTTGAGGTTTGGGGATGCAGTTTAAGAAGTAGAGAGTAGCTGTGGGGAGATTCTTTTTAGAATTAGTCTGGGGGAATAAGAGGAACTTACTTTTCCCTGAACTGGAACTGTTATAACATGTGTGTGTGTGTGTGTGTGTGTGTGTGTGTGTGTGCACATTGGATAAATTTAATACATGCAACAGAATAAGGACTTGGGGATAAGATAGTGGCACCAAGTGACAGGAGATCTAGATCTGCATTCAAGTGCTAATAATTCTTAAATTACAGACAATCCAAATAAAGAAACAAATAGAGGGACAGAAAAGATTCAGCCACACAACTGAGAAAAGTAGCATTGAAAAGAAATAAAACCATTCCTGATATTTTTACCTATACTTTCCCTGACAACTTTACCATACGGGCAGGGGTGTCTGCAGGGAGGGTCAACAACATCAAAATGGCAGGTGCAACCAGCAGAAGGCAAAATGGTGCCTCTGAGAATGCAATGTCACGTGCAGAGCAGTTGTCTGCAGCCTCTTCAGCCCAGACCATATTTTTCTGGGATCATGGTGCAGGTGCAGAGAACAGCTGGGAAAACATGGGCAAAGATGTGGCTGCTTTAAGGAGTTAGAGAAGGTGCCACATGAACACCCTGCACACTCCAACTATAGAGCTCTACAAGATATGTATTACTCTGATATAATTTAGGCACGTAGCTGGGAACCTCCTTGATTTTTTTTCACAGAAGTGAAAATTTGTAATATCCCTTCCTTAGCAAACCTCAGAGCCTCTGAATCATATGTATGTGTGTGTATATGTATGTATGTATACGTGTGTGTGTGTGTGTGTGTGTGTGTGTGTATCCTAGACCCATCTTTGATTCTGCCTGGGCAGACTTTGAACTTAGAGGAATTGTTGAGCTAATTATTTCCTTCTTTGCTGAAGGTCACTGTGTACATTTGTAGTATGTCCATTGTATACATATTTAGGTTCTTATCATGTGTTATTGTTCATACTTTTAAAATATAAGTTTTGCAGCAGAACTCAGCTAATACTGGGTTGGTTGTTTTAAAAAATGCTGTTCAAAAGACCATACTTCTTAAAGGTTGCTTCACCACTTGCATTATATTATGTTCTCCATAATAATCATAGCATGGTCTTTAAATTGTCTTCTATCTTTCCTAGAGATGGTAGAAATGATGCTGATGCAAAATGCACAGATGCACCAAATCATTATGCAGAACATGATGCTGAAATCTTTACCACCATCTTATTCACCAGCTAGTGGGTACGGGGTCCCTATGCTTCAGCATGGACAACAGGTAGCTATGCTTTTAAAGGATGTTCAGTAATAACTGCTAGGGAAAGCCAGAAGTCTGACTCGTATCTGTAAATGTATGTGTGCTAATCATTTTAATGGCCAGACAGTGTCATTCAAATAGAGATTCTTAAAAGGCTGGATTACAGTTTACAGATAGTCCTCATTTAGCAACCACAATTGAGACTGGCAACTCCTTCACTGAGCAAAGCGATCGCTAAGTTGGAAATCACATGACCATGACTGTATTTTTGTTTTCCCTACTCCCCTGCCCTTTGGAATGCTCACCCCATAGTTGGGATAATTAGCAAGAACGGAATTAATGTTTGTAATTACAGTCATTGGAGAGGAAGAGATCACAAGAGAGTAAGCAGGCACAAAATAGGGAATACACATAGAAAGCAACGCGCTGGCACTGGCAGCCCCAGGTGCATTATGCAAATAGCTTGGTGTATTCCCCATTGTGTGCCTCCTTACTCTCTTGTAATCCTTCCACTCCAATCTCTCTGTGGGGTGGGGAGAAACCAAGTGATTTCTGTAGGCAATCTCTCCTCTGCCTGACCTGGTTTTTCTCCTTTTTCTCCAATTTGAAACCTAAGCATTGCAGCACTTAAAAATTTGAGTATGGAAGATACTCCTTTGTATTGCATGTGGAAGTATAATATTTTTGGCAAACTACAAATATTTGTTAGCATCTCCAGTCAAAACAAGTGAAAGCATCATAGAGAGAAATGTTTTGTGCTTCTTGCAACATGAAAGGTTGTCCTTTCCTCAATTGCATTTGTTATGATGGAAAGTGAGTGTGTCACTGATTCATTGATGTTGTTTGTGAGCCTGAAACAAAGGAGAAAAGAAGATTTTAAACCATAAGCTTCAAATCAGTAACAGAATCACAACATCATTTGACCTGATATATATGGGGGGTGTGTGTGTGTGTGTATTATTTTTAAAATTATCTGCAGTTTACTGCTCCAGTTCCAATAAGAATGGAGAAATCACGACCATCAACCGTACATCATCACCACTACACATCTTTAGGAGCACCAGTTATTCCTTCTCAAAGTGGCTTTCCCATGTGGCCTTTAGTTCTGCAACCTGGTCCTAGCCCACAGCTGGGAGGTTTCCCATCTGAAATACATAATCTACCCATTCCAGCGAATGCATCGCACACGTAAGTCAACAGGTTGCCATTGTAGGAAAACTGGTTTTGAAGTTCTCTAAGTCCTTTCGTCTATTTGCTCCTTTCTTAGAATATTCCAGTTCAGCTATATTTCATTATGTGTTAGCCATAAAGTATCACAGAGAAACAACAATGAAGTACATAACTGAAATAGCAAAATTCATGTTTTCAGGAATAAGAAGTTAAATTGTATCCCATCTTATCCATCTCGTTTCAATTTTCTAAGCAGATGTTAGGCCTCAGCTAAATTTGCAGGTTTTGAAAAGTTTTCCTCTGGCAAGGTATACATGGGTTACTTTCAATTGCTCAACAGCTTACTAAAAAGGGAAAATTAGATAAATCACAGATATAAAGTTAGATCATTGCATAAATATATATTTCTAATTACACATTTTTTTCCCAAGTGTGCCAACCCACGGACTGCTTGGATTATCTTCGGGTTTGTAGATTCCATTGCAACAGACTAGAAAAGGTAATTTGAGCATAGGCTTCCTGTATTTATATCAGGGCTATGCCAGTATGCTAGATTTGCCCTTATCTCCCTGCTAAGTCAACAGATTTGAGATTTTTTAATTGTTCCACTAGGCACAGCTAACCATAAATTGCCACATAACAACGATATCACTCAACTTGACCTATTGGGCTTCTCTCATAACCTACCTGAGCTTTTCTGCTTTCATAAGCTGATGGGAGGATAATGTTGAACAATCCTGGATCTAGGACAGTCTCCTCTAGATTTGTAGGCGTACAAACATGTTGGCTAGACGTGGTGGGAATTGTAGCCCAACACCCCTGGAAGCTTAATTTTGGACATTTCCAAATCTGTACCACCTATTGAGGAAGAAAGCAAGCAAGCATCTTTTCCCAATGATAGCAGTTCTGGTTATTTCTCCTTGCATGAAACTTCGATTTGTTCAGTTGATCACTTTGTAGTAAGATTCCTCTGGAGCTGCTGTTACAGGGAACTCCTTTAGAGAGAGCTAATCTGCATATTAGATGATGTAAGCTTATAAAGACAAAACTATAAGTTCCTAGTACAGAATCTATATAGAATCCTTTTGGTGTATTAGGCACCATGAGTGCATAGCAGTATTTGCTGAGTTCAGAATGTGAATGGAAATAGCATCAGGAGAATGGGTTGGAGAGTGTATTATGTGGCTTCTGAGCAACTCCAGACAAAAGATTGGCCCAAAGAGAAGCTGAGTAAATTTTATTTTGTTTGGAATGACCCCCTCTGTACCCAGAGTCATATTTTTAATAGTTTCCTCTTCCCTGAATACATATATTTTCCTGCCAGAGTTAAATGATGAATAACACACAGTTTGTCATTCTACCTCTGTCCATTCTTATGATTTCTTATTTTTTAAAATTAGATTACTATGCTGCCTTTGTAGAATTATTCATTTTCTATTTTCATACAGTAATAGAAAAATGTGGTTTATGGAAAACTTATGATGCAGACCTAGTAAATAGTAAACCATAATGAAAAGACACATTAGGCCATTGATTTCAGTTATTAATGAACTTCTTGGCACTAGAAGGATTATATTCATGCAGCCATCTGAGATGCAAGCTTTTGGAGCTAGAGGGAAGGAAAGAGAGCTTCAATAGTATATAAGCTCTTTTTCAAATTAGTTTTTCTGGTTCTTTTCTTTGTATCCCTCCATCATTGTAGAAGTGCAATGTTACCCTGCTTAAATATTGTATACACACCTGTATTTCTCTTACAGGTGGCTTGCAAAGAGACATTGATTACCTAACTGAAACCACTGGAGCGTTCTCATCTGATATTTCACTTCGCTGCAGACAGACAGAAACTATGCGTATTTGCTGAGAACACAGGATTTGCATTGAGCATAACATTTCCACCAGACACAGCAGGCCTATGCTTCAATTCTGTTTGGCTATACCAAGTGATAAATAACATGCACCATATCCTGTTTACTCCTGTCATAGGCATGAAGGAGGAGGAAGAATGCCATGGAAAAGTAGTGCCAGCATTCATGGCCATATTGGAAACTCATACCAGTTATGGGCCACATAGCAGCAGTCCTATGATAATACTTAGGAAGCAGTGGAGAGACCTTCTTTGTACCCCTTTCTATCCACCCAACAATGATCAAGATAGGATGCCAACAACAGAGCCTTTCACTATAAAGCAGTCTGCAGGAGTGATCCATCCACTAAGAGTTTGTGGGAAACCACTGCTCTAATTGCCCAATAAAAGGGGAAGGAGAGGTAACATGGAGCATAGTAGCACAAACCTTCTCAAACAATAGAAATAATCTTTGGTCATACAAAGAAAGGGAGTGATAAAAGTAAGAAAGGTTGAACTGTTATAATACCGCACTGACTAGGGCATAAGGTTTGGAATCAGGAGCAGCAAAACAAGCTCTACAAGACAGAATGGGAGGAAAATAGTTGTAGTTTAGCTAGCAATAGTGCCATAATATGCAAAAGAGAAGGAGGTCCCAGAAATCAAAACTATTCTGCTGGCTGTTCACAAAGAAACTCTTCTATTGTAAATAATAGAGAAGCTATGGGGCACTGATCATCCCCTAGCCATTTAGTCATGAGTACCAAAATATGCAGAAAGGAACCCTGCACAAGTTAAATAGTTTTGGGTCTTCTGTGCAGAATGTCCAAGGTTTAAAACTGTGCTATGGCCTCTCACCAGGATTGGCTTGGAGCCCTCCTCACTACCTAAAAAAAAAATCGTTCCTTAGATAATTAAGGAAGTGCTGCATGAGCCAATAATAGGTATAAATTTGATGTCCCTCAGAAGTATAGTTGGAGTATAGTTCTCATCAGTTCCATCAAGCATGATCAGTGAGAAGAGATTGTGGGAGTTAAACTTCAGAACTTCTGGAAGATACAGAGGTGCATAACCTCTTCTCAACAGCCAGGCTCCTGGACGCAAAAGTTCTAGTTCAGGTGAATCCTTTCCTCCCTCCCTGCAGTATTAACTGACAGGTGAGCGTTTTCAGGTAACATCTCAGCAAGGCTTGTTGTCCAACTGTTTTAGGTTATCTGCTTCATATACCATGGCAACAGTATTCATGTCAATAAGTCTAAGCTAGAATAGAGAGGCCACTGGTCTTTTAGCTACACACCCCATATTCTCATTCAATCCTAAAGGCAGTTTGTGCAGGCATGGAACAAAATCCTTTTCCCACCCACTTAGTAAACTTGGGAATTTATCTCACTAGTGGTTTAATGCATCACCCTTCCTGGTAGAAAGGGTTGGTAGAAAGACTCATTGTGTTGTCCGGGTTACAGCCTCCTCCAGGTCCTCTTTTCATAATGCCTTGCCAATTTCCTCATGAGTTTGATGCCAGTATTTTCAGGCCAGCGTTATCAACACCTGGCCAGTGGCATGGCTAGTACGGCAGTGATCTAAAGAGAAGGTGGTATTTCACATCATTCTACAGGCTTAAGATTCATCTCTAGATATACTCATCAGATATCACCTGACCTTACCTCCCCAAAAAGAGATGGTGAAGTTCTTTGTTTTTCTCATACTTCTTTGCCAAGGTGAGACCTTATTGGCTTTAGCAGAAAAAGGTGAGAGTTTTTTTTTAAGGAAAAGGATGGCTCAACAGAAGACTTTAAATTCTGGGCTAGGGCCAGGAATATGTAATCAGAGGTTTCTGGGAAAGTCTCATGCCAGTGTAAACTGCCAGTGCAGGAAAGGCAAAAGTCACATGTACTGTAGTATAATTTCTACCTTCATTGAAATATCAGGGATATTGAATACTTCCAGCGAGTGTCATGGTGAGCTGACATCCTGCTGGCAGTGGCTGTGTTTACGAGGAAAATTGCAGCTGGATACTGGAGCCAGACCAGCAAAATCTCTCTGGAAGAAGGAGAGGTCATTGAGATAACCCACATGACTCCAGACAGCCACTGCTCATTAGCAGACTGGAGGAATTGTTTTGTGGTCGGTTTATGAGTTGAGTCGCTGGGAGCTGGGTTTACATCAAGCTCATATTCATATCACAGCCCTTTAAGGACATAAAACTCAACTGAACCTCATTTCTTAATCACTTACTGGAATACATTTTTGTTTTATTGCACTGGAAATATTAAGACACTTCAGATCAGCAAGGTTTTACTGTATTCATCAGGTGAGTTGCCTTCTCTTTGGAGAAACTTTGTTTTAAATGTAATTTTAAAAGCTCTGGAAAAATTTTTTTGGTTTAAACAGCAAAAGGGTGCTTAGAATATGGATTTTGGAAAGTTAACATTGAGTCTAGGTGGACTTGGAATTACAGTTTTGAATTAATTAGAAGAATTCTTCCTGTGGGAAATGGCACTGGGTTCTTGCAAGAGGAAATACAACAATAAACCTTGAAGGTTGGACACTAGAGGGAGCTAGAGGACAATAAATTAGTTTTGTTAAACAAAAGGAGCAAACAACTTTAATATTATTTTTGAATATTGTTCTTTAAAATTACTTAACATGACAGATTGTGTGTCAATGAAGTTACAGAAGATCAAGCTACAATGGATACGTTTGTAATTAATTTGAATGTGGATTGAATTTTGCCAAGCAATGAAAAGGATATGGAGAAAGATGTACTGGATTGTGGAGTCCTTGGGGTTCTCTGAGCTTGATTCTTTTTTTGCAAATGTTTCATTACCTGGCTAGGTAACATCTTCAGTGCTAGAATGGGGTGTGGTTTGCTTTCTGTTTATATACTGTGGCAAGCCCTGCCAGTGTTGGTGGGGGTGTGGGTTTGGTTTTGTTCCTCTGGTAGTTCCTTGATTAGGGTATTGTTCACTGCTTGCTTGTGTGCCTGGTGGAAACCTTTGCTTATCTGGGTGATGATTGCTGGTGAGGCGATTTTCTGGTCTTTTTTCTCTTTTGAATAGAATGTAGATGCTGTTTATCTCTATGTGTCTGTTGATTGCTGCTTTGTCTGA